TATCAAGAGATAATTATCATTGTTTTCTCCTTGGTAGATCGAGAGAAGTTATAATTCATATTTTCTCATAGTAAAATTCTTCTACCGTTGCCCGTGGTTTTTACCCTATATTATTTAGGGGTTTTCCACGTAAATTTTGTGTCTCTTTTATCTTCATTTTTATTTTCTCAAATTATCAGTTGTGATTTTGCTCTAACCGATATCCATCTTCCGCAATAATTGGTATCAGAGCCAGATTAGAGTGTGTAATATCTGCTTATTGTCTTTGTGGTTGCCACCAAAAGGTGGATCATCCAACATGTGAAAGTAAGAAGTTATTACCCATTTTTTGAAGGTTCCAGAGAACTATTCACGATAGTGAAATAGTGGGAGCTATCCGTAAAAGAAGCTATGACAACGAAATTTGATATTGAAAATTCAATGGGAGAAATTTCTCATTGTGGAAATTGAAGATGAAGGTCATCCTGAGGAAAGACGGTTGTCTAGCATCTATCAGTGAAAGGCCAGTGGATTTCACAGATGACAATAAATGGATCGAAATGGACGGGAATGCTATGGCAAACTTTCATTTAGCATTAGCAGATGAAGTATTGTCAAGCATCGAGGAGAAGAAGACAGCTAAGGAGATATGGGATCATCTCACCAAATTGTACGAGACCACATCGCTGCACAATAAAATTTTCCTTAAGAGAAAATTGTACACTCTCTGTATGCCAAAATCTACTTCACTGACAGAGCACTTAAATACACTGAACACTTTATTTTCTCAGCTTACATCCTTAAGCTGTAAAATAGGAGAACAAGAACGTGATGAACTTCTACTTCAAAGTCTACCGGATTCGTATGATCAACTCATCATCAACTTGACAAAAGTAATGTCACCAGTCTAGTCTTCGATGACGTTGCAGCTGTTGTTCTACAAGAAGAAAATCGGTGCAAGAACAAGAAAGACAGACAAGTAAATCTGCAACAAACAGAAGCATTGACAACGATGACAACGATGAGAGGGAGATCAACAGAACGTGGCCAAAGCAGTAGTCACAAATATGGTAGATCGAAGTCGAGGAGCAAGAAGAATTTAAAGTGTTACAACTGTGGAAAGAAAGGTCATTTGAAGAAGGATTGTTGGAGTCTAAATAAAAACTCCAATCCACAAGGCAATACCGCAAACACTTCAGATGATGGAGATGCTCTATGTTGGGAAACGTCAACCACCGTGGAAGGCAGAAAAAGATTTGCAGATATATGGCTCATTGATTTGGGAGCAACATATCACATGACCTCAAGAAGAGAATGGTTCCATCATTATGAACCTGTCTCAGGAGGATCTGTGTATAGTTGCAATGATCATGCCTTAGAGATCATTGGTGTGGGAACCATCAAATTGATGATATATGATGGAACAATTAAAGTTGTTCGAGATGTGCATCACGTGAAAAGCCTGAAGAAAAATTTATTATCCTACGGATTATTGGATAATAATACAAGCAAGATTGAAACACGGAAAGGAATCATGAAGGTGTTCTGTAGAGCGCTTGTGGTGCTGAAAGGCAAAAAGATAGCAGCAAACTTGTACATGCTGAAGGGAGAGACTTTGCTAGAAGTAGAAGTCTCTGTTGTCTCATGTAGTTCAGATTCTGCAATGCTATGACATCAGAAACTTGGACACGTTTCAGAACAAGGAATGAAAGTTCTTGTGGAGCAAAAGCTACTTCCAGGCTTAACAAAGGTAACACTTCCTTTGTGTGAGCATTGCATAACAAGTAAGCAGCACCGGTTGAAATTCAACACGTTTAAATTCTAGAGGCAAAAGTGTTCTAGAATTGGTTCATTCTGACGTATGGCAAGCACCAGTTACATCCCTAGGTGGAGCAAAATATTTTGTCTCATTTATTGATGACTATTCCAGGAGATGTTGGGTGTACCCTATTAAGAAGAAGTCATATGTGTTTTCAACTTTCAAAATCTTCAAAGCGTGGGTGGAACTTGATTCTGGAAATAAGATCAAGTGTTTTAGAACAAAATAATGGAGGAGAATACACAAGCGAAGAATTTGATGACTTTTGCAGGAAAGAATGTATCAAAAGACAGTTCACAGTGGCGAACACTCATCAACAAAATGGAGTGGCAGAGCGGATGAACAGAACCTTGTTAGAAAGAACAAGAGCAATGTTGAGGGATGCAAGCCTAGAAAAATCATTCTGGGCAGAAGCAGTCAATACCGCCTGTTATTTGGTGAATCGAGCTCCATCAACTGCAATAGAGCTGAAGACACCAATGGAGATGTGGACTGGTAAACCAGCTGATTATTCAAACCTCCATGTATTTGGAAGTATTGTGTACGTGATGTACAACTCCCAAGAAATTTCAAAGCTAGATCTAAAATCCAGGAAATACAAATTCTTGGGGTATGTTGATGGTGTAAAGGGTATCGCTTGTGGGATCCCACTGCCCGCAAAGTGATCATTAGCATGGATGTTATCTTTGTAGAAGATAAGCTACAAAGAAAAGAATAAGCTACAAAGAAAAGAAGAAGATGGTAGCGTTGAAAAGTCAGAGATTACACATATACATGTGGAAAAAAGTTTGAACAAGGAGATTCTTCTGAAGCAGAATCATCACATGATGAACAAGAACCAGAGAGTTATGAAGCTCCAACAACTCGTCAATCAGATCGTGTGAGAAGACGTCCCAATTGGCACTCAGATTATGTTATAGAAGGTAATATTGCATACTATCTTTTAACAGAGGACGGTGAGCCATCAACATACCAGGAGGCAATAAACAACTCAAATGCTTCACTGTGGATGATGGCGATGCAAGAAGAAATCGAATCCCTTAATAAAAATAATATATGGGACCTTGTGCCACTACCACAAGGAAGGAAGCCAATTGGTAACAAATGGGTCTTAAAAATCAAGTGAAATGGTGACGATCAAGTTGAGAGGTATCGTACAAGACTGGTGGTAAAAGGATATGCTCAAAAAAAAGGTATTGATTTCAATGAAATATTTTCTCCTGTGGTTCGACTAACAACAGTTCGAGTAGTTTTGGCAATGTGTGCTACATTGGACTTACATCTAGAGCAGCTAGATGTTAAAACAACTTTTCTTCATGGTAATCTTGAAGAAGAAATTTGTATGCTCCAGCCTGAAGGTTTTGAAGAAAAAGAAAAGAAGAACTTGGTTTGCAGGTTGAACAAATCTCTGTACAGTCTAAAGCATGCGCCGAGGTGTTGGTATAAGAGATTTGATTCCTTCATTATGTGCCTTGGATACAACAGACTTAATGCTGACCCTTGTGCTTATTTCAAGAGGTCTGGTGATAACGATTTTGTTATATTGCTGTTGTATGTGGATGATATGTTGGTTGCAGAACCCAACAAAGATCATATTGAAGAATTGAAGGCACAACTGGCTAGGGAATTTGAAATGAAGGACTTGGTATGAGCAAACAATATTCTAGGGATGTAAATTCATCGAGACAGAAGTAATAGGAAGATTTGGCTTTCACAAAAGAATTATTTGAAGAAGATCTTGTCATGATTCAGCATGCAAGATTGTAAGCCAATTTCTACCCCTCTTCCTATTAACTTCAAATTATCCTCCAGTATGAGTCCTAGCAGTGAAGAAGAGAGGATGGAGATGTCTTGAGTACTGTATGCATCAGCAGTGGGAAGTTTAATGTTCGCTATGATATGCACAAGACCAGACATTACACAAGCAGTGGGAGTGGTTAGTCGGTACATGGCAAATCCAGACAAAGAGCATTGGAATACATTAAAGAGGATCCTAAGATACATCAAATGGACCTCAAATATTGCATTATATTACAGAGAATCAAACTTACTTATCAATGGGTATGTCGATTCTGATTATGCAAGGGATTTGGATAAAAGCAAATCTACTACAGGATATGTGTTCAAAATTGCTGGTGGAGCTATAAGCTGGGTTTCAAAATTGCAGTCAGTTGTGGCTACGTCAATAACAGAAGCAGAATATGTAGCAGCTACACAAGCCAGTAAAGAAGCAATTTGGTTGAAGATGCTATTGGAGGAGCTTGGGCACAATCAAGAGTATGTCTCTATGTTTTGTGACAGTCAAAGCGCCTTGCATCTAGCAAGGAATCCAGTATTTCATTCAAGGACAAAGCACATACGAGTTCAGTATCATTTCATTCGTGAAAAGGTGGAAGAAGGGACAGTAGATATGCAGAAGATCCATACCAAAGACAACATAGCAGATTTCATGACGAAGGCGATCAACGCTGATAAATTTACCTGGTGTCGATCCTCCTGTTGCCTGTCAGAGACTTAAGCAACATGAAGTTACAAGGTAGAAAGAATGGTGTGAAGATATGATTGTTCCAATCAAATATTCAAGTGGGAGATTGTTGACTAGCACCGAAAGGTGCCTAAATTAATGCACCGAAAGGTGCATGGCCCCTTTTGTTGAAAATGTAAAATGGGATAATTCAATTTAGTCACTAAATTTTATGGTATTTATAAATTAATCCTTAGGCTTCAACTATAAATACCCTAGCTCATTTGGCTTCAAAACCATCCCAAATCATTCTAGCTTTCTCTCAATACTAGAGAGAATTTAGAGAGTTTCTTGAGAGTTGTTTTCTCCTTTTTATTAAGAGAGAATTATCATTGTTTTCTCCTTGGTAGATTGAGAGATGTTGTAATTCATATTTTCTTATAGTGAAATTCTTCTACCGTTGCCCGTGGTTTTTACCCTATATTATTTAGGGGTTTTCCACGTAAATTTTGTGTATCTTTTATCTTCATTTTTATTTTCTCAAATTATCAGTTGTGATTTTGCTCTATCCGATAGCCGTCTTCCGCAACATGATCCTTAGCTGCTGCAAAACCATTCTTTTGTAAAAGATCATTAATGTATTTTTGTTGACTCAACACCAAACCACTAGAGTCATAGCAGACTTCAATTCATAAGAAAAAAACGAAGAAGGCCAATATCCTTTAAAACAAACTGTGCATGGAGCTTATTTATAACATCTTGAACTTCATTAGAACAACTCCCTGTGAGAATGATGTCATCCACATAAACCAAGAGGTAAACCATACTAGTATCGGTTTTGCAAAAAAAAAAAAGAGGCATCCGAACGAGAAACAAACTCCATAGAAATCAAATACCCATTGAGACTGTCAAACCATGCACGGAGTGCCTGCTTTAGACCGTAAATCGCTTTATTTAATTTGCACACCAAGTTACCATCGCCTTGTTCATATCCCGAAGGCTGAAGCATATAAACTTCCTTATATAAATGTTCGTTTAAGAAGGCATTATTAATATCGGCCTGCCTGAGAGACCAACCTTTCGCTAACGCAATCGAAATTATAACTCAAAAAGTGACCAGCTTCACCATGGGGCTAAACACCTCATGAAAATCAACCTAGGTTGCTGAAGGAATCCCTTAGCTACGAGACGAGCCTTGTAACGATCAATGTAACCATTTGCATTCCGTTTGATTTTAAAAATCCATTTGCAACTCACGGCTTGTCTATCCTCAGGGAGAGGAACCAATGTCTATGTTTCATTGCGAACCAAGGCATAAAACTCTGCCTGTGCAGCGGCCTTCCAGTGAGGGTGAAGAAAAGCCTCCTTAATAGTTGTAGGCTCCTTATCATCAAATGAAACATGCAAGACCCTCAGTTTTCGTATCCCATTTTTACCCCCATGTAACCATGGGATGAATGTTTTGACCAGTGGTAGTCCAATTAGCAGTAGAGCGATCAACAGGTACATTACCACAAATAGATAGCACAATATTAGCCAAGGAACCTACTGCAAGGTCAGTAGCCTGTACTTGATCAGTATCCCTAGAGCCTGAAAACGTCTTGCAGCAGAAAGAATAAGAGTAAGTGATGCATGACACATGTGCAACAACAGAATCGATAGATACGGGTAACAACAAATTTTCAAGATCCAACAATTTTAATTATCAAAAAGCGAAGTCTATTTTTTGTTAAGCAATGTAATCCGATTATTTAACTTTTGTTTAGTAAATTTAAATATAGTCTAAAAATGTATTTATAATTTTAAAAAAAAGTTCTGAAACTCAATATAATTTTTAAAAAATAATATTTTGAAATTCTCACTTAAAAATATTAAAAATGCTAAAATAAAATTTTAGTCACAATTGAGGGACCAAAGTATATAATTTTCATTAATTTAAAATATCACATCATCCCTTAATGATAGGTGCTTATATTTTTAACCAAATCTAAAATTTAATGTTTATTTTATAACTTTTAAAAAGTTGAATGACTAAAAGATCATTTTATCATAATTTGATAATCATTTGTAAATTTATCTTATTTTAATTTAGATAGTGATATATTTTATGATGATGTTGCCACGCTCCACGAGCATAGATAAACACTGTTAATGATAAGTAACATTAAATTAATTTATAAAATGATAAATTATAAAATACAAAATGTATAATTATTAATTAGTTAAAAATCTAAATAAAATTTATTTAAAATACAATATTTATAAAACATTAGTTTTTAGGGTAAATTATACTATTGACCACCTAATTATTTACCCTTTTAGTTTAACCACCGATTTTTGAATTTTGTCAATCGAGTCACCTAATTTAAATATTGTCAATCAAGCCACATGTCATTAAATATTAACGGAGGAGATGATGTGGCAGTTAATAAAATTTGTATAATTACACATTTAATCCCCATTACTTGCACATTCTATTAATTTGGTTTTAACTTTTATTTAATTAAATAAATTTAATCCTCAATCCGATTGTGACATGTGTCATTGTGTGATTGGATGTTTTTTATATTTTTATTTAATTTATTTTCCATCCAATCAAATGGTGCCATATGTCAATAATATTTATAAAATATTAGTTTTTAGGGTAAAATATACTATTGGCCACCTAATTATTTACCCTTTTAGTTTAACCACCGATTTTTCAATTTTGTCAATCGAGTCACTTAATTTAAATATTGTCAATCAAGCCACATGTCATTAAATATTAACGGAGGAGATGATGTGGCAGTTAATAAAATTTATATAATTACACATTTAATCCTCATTACTTACACATTCTATTAATTTGGTCCTAACTTTTATTTAATTCAATAAATTTAATCCTCAATCCGATTGTGACATGTGTCATTATGTGATTGGATGTTTTTTTATATTTTTATTTAATTTATTTTCCATCCAATCAAATGGTGCCACGTGTCACCAATTGAATGAATGACAAATAAATTAAATTAATAACCATACTAGTGGGGTTTGAACCTGAGACGCAAACCAAAAAACTAAGTGCCCTAACCACTAAGTTGAACCACTAAATTTATTAGTATACAGAAACATAATCTATATAATTTATAGAATAGTTAATAGTAATAAATGACCTTATAAGGACTCAAACATGAAATAATCGAATAGTATGAAAATTTAAAATATATATAAACAAATATTCTAATTGATTAATAAATGAATATGTTTTATTTATATTTAAATCACATTTAATGCAAAAATTAAAATAAAAGTGAATTTAATATGTTATAATTGAAATGTATCATTTTACATATTTTAAATTAATAAATTGTCTTTATTATTCTAATTTTATTGAACTAAAATGTATCATATCTTATGTTTTAAAATATTACAATGTCGATCGGATTTTAATCTTATTTAACAACTCTATATTAAAATAGACTAATTCTATAAAATCAAATTTCCCCTAAAATTTTCTTTAAATATATAATGAATAAATAATAAAATATAAAATTTTTATTCTAACCAAAGTATAAACAAGTCAACACATAAGTTAAAATGCTTTCTACAATAAGTCATCAACTATCAGGAAAATTCTAAGTCAACAAAGCTCTTCATTATATTTAAATTATAATATATTAAAATTATTTTTACTTTTATTTATTCATTAAAATGATTTAAAATATAAATAAAATACATTCACATGTTAATCAATTATAATATTTGTGTATATGTATCATATTATTTTATTATTCAATTATTTCAAGTTGGAGTTCTTATCAGGTCATTTTCCCTTTTTTATTGCCTTTAATTATATATATCATGTCGTGATATGCTTATCATTTGAATGGTGCAGCTCAGTGGTTAAGGTGATTTCTTCCTGTCCTCATATCTTGGGTTCAAACCCACCAGCAATAGTTATTGATTCAATTTATTTTTTATTCATTCATTTGGTGACAATGTGGCACCATTTGATTGGATGGAAAGCTTATTAAATTAAATAAAGATATTAAGAAAAAAAATCATTGGGATTAAATTTATTGAATTAGTTAAAAGTTTGGACCAAATTAATAGAATGTGTAAGTAATGAGGAATAAATGTGTAATTATACAAATTTTATTAACTACCACGTCGTCTCCTCCATTAATATTTAACGGAAGTTGGCTTGATTGACAATATTTAAATAGTTAGATGACTTGATTGATAAAATTAAAAAATATGTAGTTAAAGTAAAAAGGATAAATAGTTGGATGGTCAATCGTATAGTTTACTATAAAAACTAATATTTTATAAATATTGTATTTTAATTAAATTATATTTAAAATTTTAACTAATTTATAATTATATATTTAATATTTTACAATTTAACGCTTTATAAATTAATTTAATGATGTTCATCCATGCTCAACAAATATTATAAAATTTTTCTATACTTTAATGTATCAATGTAATTATATGTTTAGGATGTGAAACATTTCCGTAGAAATTTCCGTTCTTGCGTTCAGATTCCAAGGTGAAGACCGTACAACTTTTGCTGTAGAAAATCGTGACTCGTGATTACTTAATTTTAATTACAGTAATTGCCGACCATGAATGTTCTGCCATGATTTCAATATGCTTGTCTTCAAGTATAATACTTAGAGTATTCACTGTTAATATGACACTGCTATCTCAGAAATCTAGAGGCTTGCGAAGAATTTAATGGTACTGTAAATTTATACGATTTAAGGAGATAAAAATAAATTATTAATAATAAATATAAAAATATATATATATCATATAAAAATTTAAAATTTAAGGACGACTATTTCAACTATTTTCTCAATTTATATCGGATAAGGATCAACAAAAATAAAAATTACTCACGTGTGCTGATTTATTCATAAATTAATACGCAACCAAACCTAACACCATACCCAAAAAGGTCCATAAAACTAATGGGATATGGTGGATATCATTGTTTACATTTCTTCCTCGTGATTTGGAACATTGAGATATTCACTTGAACTTTTTTAATCATTTCAAAAAAAAATCACTAGTAAAAAAAGTTTATTGATAGCAAGAGAAGAAGAATATGAGAGCAGTTCTTATAAATAATTTAATTTTTAATCTGAATCTTTAATATCTATTTATAGAAGTAGATATTTAATTACAAAATAAACTATTTAATTTATTTTAATAATTTTTTATATTTTTAATCAAATTATGTTTCTTTATTACCCAAATTTATACGTTAATTAGTTTGTGTCATTTTGATTTTAAGTAAAATTTAACCTAAACAATCTCAGTTTTGTATTTTTTACAGGTTCATTTAGTTATTTGTTATATAAAATAATTGGGAAATGTATAATATACTTTAATTTGAATGACAAGTGAGCTGTGTTAGTTTTACTTTTGTGGAAGCTGATTTTATAATTTATTATTTAAAAATAAAAATAAATGAAAAGGATGAAATATAAATTGTCTATTTTTTTTAAAGAGAAACAAGGAAAATAGAATTCAAAAATGGTAAAAAGATGTCACGTTAATATTATTATTAACTTATTGAAGTTCAACGAATTAGACAACCATAAGATAATCTTTAACCGTTTTCGTTTCTTTATAAATTTTAAAAAAATTAACTCTTTATCTTTCATTTTCTATTATTTTAAGCCGATACCGAGCGTCACGTCTTACGGCAGAGATGATGTTGGTCTTAAAGGAGAGCCGAAATCATTCACCATTGATTTTGAATCGAGACCGAGCGTCATTTCTTACAACGGAAATGAAGTTGATCTTAAGGGAGCTAAGAAATCATTCACGAGTGACTTTGAACCGATACCGAGCGTCACGTTTTACGGCGGCATTGATGTTGATCTTAAAGGAGTGAAGAAATCATTCACTAGAGACTTTGAACCGAGACTGAGCGTCACGTCTTACGGCGACAATGATGTTGATCTTAAAGGAGTGAAGAAATCATTTACTAGTGAGTTTGAGTCGAGACCGAGCGTCACGTCTTACGGTGGCAATGATGTTGATCTTAAAGGAGTGCAAAAACCATTCACTAGTGATTTTGAGCTGAGACCGAGTGTCACGTCTTACGGCGGCAATGATGTTGATCTTAAAGAAGTGGAGAAATCATTCACTAGTGATTTTGAGCCGAGATCGAGTGTCACGTCTTACGGCAGCAATGATGTGGATCTTAAAGGAGTGGAGAAATCATTCACTAGTGATTTTGAACCAAGACCAAGTGTGATGTCTTATGGTGACAATGATGGTGATCTCAAAGTAGTGGAGAAATCATTCACTTGTGATTTTGAACCGAGACCAAGTGTCACGTCTTACAGCGCGAATGATGTTGATCTTAAAGGAGTGGAGAAATCATTCACTAGTGAGTTTGAACGGAGACCGAGTGTCACTTCTTATGGTCAAAAATCGTTCACTAGTGATTTTGAACTGAGACCGAGTACCACATCTTATGGCCAGAAATCGTTCACTAGTGATTTTGAAACGAGACCAAGTATCACATCTTATAGCAAGAAATCATTCACTAGTGATTTTGAACCAAGTCTGAGTACCACATTTTATGGCTAGAAACTAGTGATTTTAAACCCATACCGAGCATCATTTCTTATGGCAAGAAAGCATTCCCTAGTAATTTGGAATCGATACCAAGTATCACAACAACAATGATGTTGGTCTCAAAGGAGTGAAGAAATCATTAAATATTATCTAATACTAGCATAGTGTATGAATGTTGTAATAATGCACTCATATATGCTTTATAGAAAGCATAATGTAAGAATACACTCATATGAGATGGTAAAATAAGTACAAGATGATGCTTTTGTGTGCTAAGAATATATATGTTATCGTAAAAGACTTGGGTTTCTCTATGAAATGTTCTATGAATCCTATTATTAGCCCAAATTAAATTGGGTTCTCAAATTTGATATAATTTTTAAATTTATTTTAATTTTTTTAAGTGTGACACACTAAAGGATAGTATGCAATATCGCAACATTCAATGTGTTAGTCTTGGGGCTCAAGTTAACCAGACATCAAACATCAAGAAACGAGTATCATACAAGACAACCAAAATCTCATGACAAACACGAGGGGTTCCAGGCTCGATCCTCAGCACACGAAACACCACCTGGTCGTGTTTCCATTGCGAAGTATACATGAGACAAACGGCCACCACCATCATCCTATCTCCGCTATCACTTCCCAATGATACCTTAAACTCTGTTTTCAGTCTCTTGGGTATGGCAATACAGTACAGCATAAGGGTCGGGCATCGTGTGACAAGCCACCATCCTCGGACCTGGTATCTCATCCGGTGCTTTTAATATAGTATAGTTTTGGAAAAGGGTGCTCGACTTCATATGATGTTCGGTTGCAAATATCTTGAAATCGGAGTTCGATCTGATGATATTGCTTGTGAAATCTAGCATCGATCCTATTGATGTAGCGCAGAATTTGATCTCCCCTATGATTGGCTCACATTCTCGAAGTGTAGCTTCCATTGCTTTGGCCTGGGGAGAGTCTTGCGAGAAAGAGAAGAACCGAAGCAGGTTAGGGAGTTCTGTTAATGAGAGTCTCGAAACATTTTTGAGCTGTTTGTCTCCACTTCCATCTGCATACTGCAAAAATGTTAATCCTGTAACTAAGTTCTAAACATCAAAAGATCTTAGTCTTTAAATTTTCTTGTATTTATGTATCATGTATGCATGTAACAAAATCTATTGCTTCATCTACCATATCAATTGGTTGTTGATAAAATTTATATATTATCAATACATCGAATATGAATCATTTTATAAAATATGGAATCAATAATGGACGAAAAGATCAATAATTTAAGCTGAGTGAAGCCAAACTACATATCCTGATTAAGCATGGGACCTTATTTTTCCACAGAAGATCCATGGAAGAGCTTGTCCGGTAGTGGTGTTTTGGTATAACCATTCTCGCCATTATGTTTTCTTTGTTGTTGCTTGGGTCGTGTTTGTACAAATCTCAGTCCTGGTATCCAAAAACGATGAATCATCGCAATTGGGTGAATTTATTTCCCACTTGTCGAAACGATTTTTACGAGGTGGGGCGAGATTTTGAAAACCGCGTCATTTTTAATTATTCTCTTTTCGATTGAATTTTAATTAAAAACAATGCAATTTTAGAAAACCTCTAGTTTCGAAAAATTGGAAATTCCTTTGCGATAAAAATATAAGGTTCGAGGAGTCGCCACCAATCTTTGATTAAGGTGTGATTGGGCACCCAAAAATGTTGTCATTTTAAATAAAAAATTAATTTCAATTAAAACGACAAATTTACAGTCTATGTTACCAAAATCCAAGTTCGGGAGTCGGTTACGTGTGGGGAAGGATTAGCACCCCCACAACGCCCTAAATCGGTACCTAGTCGATTAATTAATGTCTTTGCAACGAATTTCACAAGTTCGAGTTTAATTTGATTAATAATCCCTTTAAACAACAAAAATGCAAATTTGTAACATTGAAAAGCAACAAAATATGTTGATTTAAAATTTCCAAGTCATTAGAAAGATAAAGGATATTCGATTATTTAAAAATATCGAGACCAGATCTTTAGGTGAGTTCTAACGATATTTTCTCAAATAATTTAAATAGTCGAATATTTCTTTTTCTTTCATTCCCAAATTTTAAAGTGATTAATCCAAATTTAATTAGGTGTTACTGATGGGATACAATTTTAATTTAAAATTACCAAAACAACTCTCTAGTAAGTTAGGAGAAGTCATTCCAACAATTTTAAATTAAAAGAATATTACCCTTAATCTGATTATGTAACGACGTCGAGTCATACACACGAGGTTAACATACAATATTAAAAATTATCTAATTAATAAATAATATATGAAAAACTTAACATGCACTAACATTACTTAACATATTAATATGTAACATACTAATGGGACTTAAATACGAAAAATAAAAACATAACATACCAAACTATGAGAAAAACTATACATGTTACACTAATAACCAAATCACATTAAACCAAATTTTAATATCCAAAATATAAACAAAATAATAATTGAAATGAACATATTAGTACACATAGTAAACAATGAAACCAGAATAAAACAAATCATCACCACAATGGACTAAAATTATAATAAACCCTAAACATACATAGGACTAAAAAGAAACATGCAAAAACGTAAAGGTCAAATGTCTAAAAAGAAAAATGAAATATACAAACACTTGGGACCAGTATTAAACGCGCATAAAATAAATGAACAGAAATATAAACATGCAGATTTTGGACTAGGGACTAAAATGAACTTGAGGAGAAACCAAAGTGACTCCTAACTCGAATAAACCATGCGAAATCAAGAAACTCTAAACACTTACACGACGTCATTTTAACCAAACCTTAAATTAATATCTAACCTAAAAAAATAAAACCCTAACATCTAAGCCAAACAAATTCCCCCCTATCTGCGCCGTTTCTCTCAACTCTACCCATCTCTCATTTCTCTCCCCCATCCTCTGTTCCACAATCACACACAACAGACACCAGAGAAGGAACTCGGCCGCCACTCCATCGCCGCAGGACCCGGACAGGTAAGGCTCTTCTATTCTTTCTACTGCTCTTAAACACTTCCAAACCCACATGCACACACTTGGTTGGCCTAAGGACGAGACCCCCGACGGCCCTAGAAACTACGGCCACCACACCCAACGGCCACCAAAGCCGAGATCACACCAACCAAACCTCTTCTCTAACTCTAGCAGCAAATCGAGACCTCACTCCTCTCGAAACTAAGCCACGAATGCTTGCATCCCGATGCCGGCGAGAGAACCCGCTAAACCCGACAAGGGGCTAAACCCCTTAAGGTAAACGTTCTACTCCCTACTATTTTTAGTTTTGTATTTACGTGGAAAGCTATTTAAAACAAATAAAGGAAAGCATGATTGTAGATGATAATGAAGAAAAAACCTTGCGTTATATTCTTCGAATAGGAGGTCAAAAAGGGACCTCGTTTACACCTTGCTTTTTTCAAATAGGGAAGTCGAAGCCTTTCTTTTTACAAACTGTTTTTTTCTTTCATATGATCTCCCCCCTCCTTTTGTTAATGATCGCCACTGGTTGCTGTGTATTTCGTTCTGTCTCGTGGTTGATTTCTCCTTGTTCACTGCTGCCTTCCTTTGTTTATGAGCTTCCCCTGAATCTAATCCCCTCTGTTCGTTATCGTTCCTTCTATTTTGATGGCTAATGGTCCATGGATATCTCCCCCTTCTCTTTTTTTCCCCCTTTCTCTGGTTCGGTCCCCTTTGCTGCTTTAATCTTTGCCTATGTTCCTCCCGTGATCTCCTGCTAATTTTTGTTGTCTTCCTCTATTTGTGCATGGTATGGGCACGAGATGGACTGGGCAGTGGAGCAGGAGCAGCAGGGCACGGGTGTTGGGAAACCGAGCTGCTCGGTCAGAATGCTGGCAGGGTGATGTCCGGTCAAGCATGTGCACTCGTGGGTGATGCTTGGCAGGGCGTGGAGTAGCTGCTGGGGAGCTGTGCTGCACATGGGAGACATGGATAGCTCGGGTTTGGTTGCAATTTAATTACTGTTGGGCTTGAATCTTGAGCTTGCAATTAATTTGGTTTGTAATTGGGCTTCAAATAGGTAAATGGACTTTAGACACTTAATTTGTATTGAACTTCAATATGTGTCTCGATTTCCATATACGACTAATCCCAATTGAGCACCTAAAGCTTCCAAACGCAAACTTTCACGCTTCGTCATTTGAATTGATTCTTCATCTGAGCACGATTACCTCCAAATTAATTATCGGGCATCTTCAAATGGATTTAAAAGGCCCTGACAAAATTAGGGTATTACACCACTATTGGATTGTGCTCTTATAGAGGTTTGATTTGATGTTTCATGCTTGAAGTGATTCTTGTTTTTAATGTGACAGGTTAAAATACGACATTTTAAGGTACAATTAAAAATGTGATAAAAATAAAATATTTTAGATTGAACGTAATTTAAAATATTACATTTTTACTTATTGAACCTAAAATGTCATGGAAAAAGTTAATATTTTCAGTTGTCAACTGAAATTGTTATGAAAAATGTAACATTTTGTTGAACGAAAAATGTTAAGAAAAATATAACATTTTAAGTTGCGTCTAACCTAAAATGCTATGATTTTTTTATCACATTTTCAGTTGCGTTCAATATCGTCGTCTTTTAACCTTAAATTAGACTATCGTTCTTAGACTTCCTCGTATTTTTTTAGTGTGTGAAAACGCCAAAATGCATATCCTGATTGATCCTGAGGAGTTATCTTTCCACCCATACATGATCTCAAAATAGTGATTTTGATTTTTTTAATATTTCATTCAACGTTTCAATTTTTGGTCAAAACAATTCATGTTGGATGAAAATTTTTATTTGAACGGTCAACATATGTTGTAGACGTGATATTTTCACATGTATTCAATTGTTGAAGTTACATGTGTTTCGTCATTCAAACTGATGAAGTGATATGCGACACATAATTAAAATGATGACATTATATATAATATGTTACTAATTAGGTATATATTAAAATATCAAGCCAGTAACATGTATTGACTATTAGTCAACTAACAAATTTTATTTAAATTTGACTATTTTAATTAAAAATTGAAACATTGAATTAAAATATTCCAAAAAATATATGAATTAAAATGATCATTTATGAAAATATTGGAGATTAGTTTTATCATTATATGTTTTGAACTGAACAATGATTCTAGACGGGCACAACATGTGCAAAAGCGAAAACACGAGTACAAAATATTTGGGTAAATTTTATAAAAGGTCACTTAACTATTAATAAGATTACAAATAAGCCTTATAATTTAAAAAATTATAACCGATTCATTCAATTAATCAATGGTCACTAGGTCACTAGACCGTTAAAAATGAAACAAAAGTTAGATGGCGCCATTAGAAAACATTTGTTTTTTTTTTATAATTTTCTTATTGAGTAAACTACACAAAAGTATATCTAATTATTAGTAAAATTATAAATAGGTCACCTAATTTCAAAAAGTCACCAAGGAGTTAGATAGATCATCCAATTTCAAAAAGTCACAAATGAGTCATTGGGAAAGAAAATCCTTTTTGTCTTTTGGGTTTCTCAAATATTGGGAGATCCATTGATGATCCAAATAGTGAAGAGGTTGTCATTAGTGCGAGGAATAACATATATAAAACAGACAATTTTATTGTGAACAATGTAGATTGATGTTTAGGAAATTTGAAAGTCATGGTGTAATTTAATAACTTTTGAGAGATATTGTCAAAAACATAATATGATGAATTGAGTGACTTGACCACTGTACATGGTGGCACATTACCTTATTGTTACAATTAATTAAGTGACTTGATTGTTACAATAAATTGAGTGACTTGATTATAACTCTCTAAAATCTAATATTTCTAATGAATAAAATATTTCATCTAATATTTAACAATGTTGTGACATGCTGTGACAATCATAAAGTCATCGATAAATTTGATTATAATATTGATTTTAATTTTGTGTCTTTATTTTTAAAATAATATTAATGATAAATTTATTATTATGGTTTAATTTTAAGGACGTCAAGGATTCTATGGTAGATTTATGGAATTAGGGACATCTTTCGAGGAAACAAACATTATATTCACATTCATGAGACTAAAATGAGTAATTACAAATTTTGGGATCTAACGGTCGTCGACGACGACAGTCGGTAGTGATAGATGATAGTAGTGAGCAATGGCCAATGAAGGGGGAATTTGAACGGATTTATAGGTTAAATTGATAATTTATTTGAAGTTTAGGAGTCAAATTAGTATTTTATCTAAAGTTTAGGGTCATGCTATAAATTAACCCTTTTACTAACGTGATATGTTATCAAACTAACTACATTTAAAATCTCAGTGACTCAAATGTTATAAATCGATAACATAAGTGGCCAAAAAGTTATAAACATCGTATTCATGGTCTTGATGAAGTAATGGCAGGTGATTAGTAGAATTTAAAGAAGGTACAATAGGGATTGCCCTGAATTTGGAATCAAATAATGTTGGTGTTGTATTAATGGGTGACGGTTTGATGATACAAGAGGGAAGTTCTGTAAAAGCAACTGGAAAAATTGCTCATATACCAGTGAGTGAAGCTTATTTGGTCATGTTATAAATGCCCTGGCTAAGCCTATTGACGGTCAGGGTGAAATTTCAGCTTCTAAATCTCGGTTAATTGAATCTCATGCCTCGGGTATTATTTCTAGACGTTCCGTTTATGAGCCTCTTCAAACGAGACTTATTGCTATTGATTCGATGATCCCTATAGGACGTGGACAACGAGAATTAATTATTGGGGATAGACATATTAGTAAAACAACAGTAGCCACGGATACCATTCTCAATCAGTAAGGGCAAAATGTAATATGTTTTTATGTAGCTATTGGTCAAAAAGCATCTTTTGTGGCTCAAGTAGTGACTACTTTCCAAAAAAAGGGAGCGATGGAGTACACTATTGTGGTAGCCGAAACGACGGATTCCCCAGCTACATTACAATACCTCGCTCCTTATACAGGAGCAATTTTGGTTGAATATTTTATGTATCGTGAACGACACACCTTAATCATTTATGATGATTTTCCAAGCAAGCACAGGCTTATCGCCAAATGTCTCTTCTATTACGAAGACCGCTGAGTCGTGAAATATTTTAAAAAATAATTATTTCTTCTATATATAGAAAGGAAAATTGATTATAGACTCCATAAGAGTTGTAGAAGTTGATATATCCATATATCAATCTTTAGGTTTATTGCATTAATAAATCATGAAATCATTCCTTCCTTTCTTTGCATTACTATTTTAATGAATCATGAGATGATCTTTTATAGCAATTTTCTTTCCATAAAAATCACATATTGTTAAAAAAAATAAAAATTTATAATTTAAAGACTAACTCGTAAGTTAACATGAAATATTTTAATTACTGTAATAGAATTTATGTGCATATATCTAATTCCAACGAGCGGGAGACCACAAGCACCAAAAGAAGCCTTCCGTATTCAATTATTGGTATGCATATATCGGTTATTATTATTTTAAAGTTTCGCTGGCATGCAATTATTATTATTTTATTAATTTTAGTTAATTTTTTAATTTTTCATATTTAAATATTTAAAGTTTATTAATAATAAAAATATATTTTAAAACTTTAATCAAATAATTTGTATATATATTATAAAATTTAATTATTTAAAACAATTATTATCAAAATTTAAAATATTTGACCATCAAAAAATTAATGAAAAACAATAGTAACGAAACTTAAGTACTGTTAGAGTCCCTCATTTTCTAGAAATTATTTTATTTGATCCTTTCCACTACATCATTAATGATTTCAGTCAATTAAAACAATTCGTATTAATATTTTTTTATGTCTTTTATTCACATAGACTTTATTCGCCAACATCAATTTCTTCATTTAATACATATCACAATTAAAATCAAATTTAAAGATTATTTTTGGGATCTTCCTAATTCTTTTTATTCTACAACAATGCATATCAAAGTTGATTATAAACCTTCATTACGTTGTGATATCCAGTAAAGATTAAATAAATTGGTTCAAAATAATTAAACATTGAATATACTTCTTATTTTATTTCTTATCGTTTACAAATTTAGATTATGATCGGAATGGGTTAATGAGTCAATATAAAGAAGCAAAACGAATTTTAAGTGCTCTAAACATGCAACCAGAATTGCAGTAGAAAGATTGCTTCTCCGTATCTATACAAACTTAAGTGGCTTTTTCTTGATTGTCCTCCTTGTTTCTCAGGGCTTTGTCTTGATTAATCCGAATCAATTTGTATCGTATATCTGATTTTGATAGGTGAATTTCTCAACGATGAATTTTTCATACACAAAATTTCAAACTCAAGATTTAACTTAAGTAATATGAATATTGATGTGGATTTTTTTAATTAGTTAGGGCCGTTAATAATATAATGGGAAGGGTCTAAAAATATTTTTTTGATGAGAAGGTTCCATGAAATAATTTCTCATAAATTATTTATCCTGCGTGTTAGAACAAACTCAGCAACATCACTAGACTGAGTGTCGTGCTTTTGCGTGTGAAGAAGATCCATGTTATATATTTATGCAAGAAAACGAAATGTAGGTTATTGTGAATACATGATTTTATGATCATTATTATTAGGTTAAATTTATATGTATTTAATCCATATACTTTAATTTAGTCAATTTTAATCCCTTTAATATTTGAAATTTTAGTCCTAATACAAGTAATATAGGTGTAATATGACTAAATTACAAGCATTTAAAAGCATCAAAGAAGAGAAGATGAACTAATACAAATACTATATAATTTCATTTAACAGTTACTGATTGGGTTGAGACTAAAATCTTTAGTTTTGAAAAGTGAAAAAACTAAAAATGATTAAATTGGAATACATGAATTAAATCTATACTATTTCTAATTTATAATTAAGTAGTTAAAAAGATCATTTGAATATAATTTAAGGACTTTTTGTGTAGTTTATCCTAAATTTTAAGTATGATTAATAACATGTAATGTCACTATGGGCCGGTAGTAGCAGCTCAACAACTAAGCCGATCCAAATACGGCCCAATTTATAACTACAATAATTCACACTACTTTTTAGCTCAAATCAACCAAAATTCACACTGAACCGACCGAAACCCCTTTCCCCCCCCCCCAATAAAATCAAACCCCGCGACCCGTGATGGAGGAGAAACGGCGGGACGCGGGTAACTCACCGGCGGGGCCGAGCTCAGCGGAGCCGGAGTCGGCATCAACTCGCCGTCGAGGTGGAGCGCTGAAGAGAAAAGCCAATTCGCTTTCCGGGTCGAGCTCTTCATCAACGCCGTCGAAACGGGTTACTCGAGAGAAGTCAAGCTTGATCTCCTACCCTCCGGTCAACCATTACGGTCCTTTAACCAGGGCTCGCCAAGGGGCGCCTAGTGGAAACGTTGTCTTGGGTTTGAGCTTGGGATCGGATGGCGCGAAGCTTGGGGAGGCAAGAGCGGTGAAACAAAGTGTGAAGGCGGAAGATTTGGAGGAATTGAATAAGGCAAGTGAAGAGTGGGAGGCTTTGGAAGCTAAGATTGAGGCTGATTTTGAGGCTATTATATCTCGTGACATTAATGCGCATGCTGTTCCTAATCATTGCGGTGAGTTTTTCTATTTCCCCCCTTTTCCCCTTGTTTGGTTGATGAGAAGTGGGCAGGAAAGGGAAGGAAAGGTGAACTTTATCGTTTGCAACTTTAGTGTTACTTCTTTAAGTGGGAGCTAGTGAATTGAGAAATTATGTGAATTTTTGTTTGTTTGTTAATATAGGTGTTCAATTCGGGTTGAATTGAAGTTTTTGTCTTAATTGTGTAAACCGAAAAAAAAGAGAAAAAGATCGAATTGTTTTTCTTGAATAGTTAATTTGGAAGTTTTATTTCTTAATTTGTTTCTATATGCTATATGAATGCTAACACAAAGGAAATGATAATAAGTATCCATCCAATTTGTTCTGCTCATTTCTTATCAGCCATGCATGAGAATTAGACCTTGGCATATTAAACACAACATTGATAAAAATAAGTAAAATACGACACAGCATCAAAAAAAATGAAAATAAAAATTTCCCACAAATACACGATTACGCCATGTATACACAAATTAGAAAAAGAATGTTAATCTTAGTCCTCATTAGCGGAGTGCAAGCTAGGGCTCTAAATAAATTTGCCTCATTGGAAGGCTCTTATCTGTTTATATAAAGATCGAAAAAGAAGATACTGAACTATTAGATTTTTTGGTGTTTCGGATGCTGTCAGTCTTTGTACTCATCCTCTCTTTGTACTCACAGGATGGTTTTCATGGACAAAAATTCACCATCTAGAGGAGAGTATCTTGCCTTCTTTCTTTAATGGGAAATCCCCAGATCGAACCCCTGATTTATACATGGAGATTCGTAATTGGATTATAAAGAAATTTCATGCAAATCCAAGTGTGCAGATTGAGTTGAAAAATCTGGAAGATCTTGACATTGGTGACTTGGATGCAAGGCAGGAAGTATTGGAGTTCCTGGACTACTGGGGTTTGATTAACTTTCATCTATTCCCTCCAGCTGGTTCGGCTGTACCCAAAGCCAATGGGGATGGGATGTCCAATAAGGATTCTTTGCTTGAAAAATTGTTCCACTTTGAGGAAATTGAATCACACCCACACGTTGTTACAAGGTCTAACCTTTCAACTTCCTCTTTACTGTCTGGGTTTCTTCCAGAATCTGCGCTTGCTGAGGACTTGATGACACCTGAGGGGCCATCGGTTGAGTACCATTGCAACTCTTGTTCAGCTGATTGCTCTCGGAAGCGCTATCATTGCCAGAAGCAGGTGAGTTATTGAATACTAACTGATAAATACTTGTCTAAGCCTCAAATTATTTAGTACACTATGAAGAGAAAATAACTGCACTAATTCTTTCTGAGTGTTCTTGTGGCAATGTTTCAATCTTGCCTGCATTGTACTGATATATGTATTTTTATGTATATGTTCATTTTTCACTAGTCCTATTTTTATAAGAGAGTAAGAGGGAATTCTACTACAAAATCAATTTATTTGACACCTTCGGCTCAAGCCAAGTGGTAAATAAAATGGGAAATCCAGACCTTTTTAGCTACTGCTTGTTGTCCAACAAATAAGAAATGAGCATAAATTGTTTGCACCACCAGTGCAATCTGTTTACTTGCAACGAAAAGCCAATGGTGTGAATGATCAAAATGGAAAGAATAACTAACTTAGTAGTTTTGTTTATATATTTATTAAATTATTGTTCCATTTGTTTATGATGTAATTATGTTTGTATTTGACAGGCTGATTTTGACTTATGTACTGATTGCTTTAACAACCGGGAGTTTGACTCTGGCATGTCTTCTTCGGATTTCATTCTCATGGAACCTGGTGAGGCCTCTGGTCTTAGTGGTGGCAAGTGGACAGATCAGGAAACCCTCCTCCTTCTTGAGGCACTTGAACTTTATAAAGAAAACTGGAATGAGATTGCGGAGCATGTTGCTACGAAAACTAAAGCACAATGCATACTGCACTTTGTTCAAATGCCAATTGAGGATGTATTCTTTAATAGCGATGATAACAGAGACACCAATTCAAAAGAAACTGCTGGACCATCTGCCGATATTGATGAAACATCTTTCTCTAAAGATGTCTTGGAAACAACAGAGGGTAAGACTGCTCCTCAAGAGGATCAGGCCCAGACTACACCAATGGAAACTTCAAAACCTGAAGATGGAAAAGAAGTGAGAGCTAGCGAGGAAACATCTAAACCTGAAAATTTAACTGATGTAAGTGGTGGTCAAGAAACATCAAAGCCAGAGGAAACGGATGTGGCAAAAGACAGAAAAGACACAACTGAAAATTGTGCACTTGTGGCACTAAGGGAGGCATTTGAAGCTATTGGTTATAATTTAACATCTGAAAGCATACTCTCATTTGCTGATGTAGGAAATCCTGTCATGGCATTGGTAAGTTGAATGTGTTAGTATTTAATTTAGGTTTTATAAATTGATGTATATGAAGGGAAAACTGAGTTCATTTAATGATCTCAATTAATCCACTTTGTACATGGCTTTTGAAATAGTTTTTATCCTAAAATTTATCTGGGAATCTTTTGTTTCTGCTTTTAGAATAACTTTAGAGCCCGTTTTCCTACCTCCAATGTAAAAGAAACGGTGGCTTGCTTTGTAATCAAATGAATGATCAAACCTCATAATGCTGTCCTATTGCAATTCGCTTTTCTGTCATCAACAATGGTTTTTCATGGTCATTTTTCCTCCTTTTAAATGATTGCAATGCCAGTCTTTTATAATCTATCATGTGCTCTGTACATGTTTATGAAACAATCAAAAGCACTTCTGTATAAAGGTTTGTTTCATTAATCTTCGAAACTTTTCTCTTGAAAATGTTTGTTCTCAACTTATTCCGCTATTCATCATTTACCTATTTCTATTTGTTGGTGATATGTTACAAACTAAAAGTTGATCTTCCTGCAGGCAGGGTTCTTTGCGCGTCTGGTCGGACCCAACATTGCTGTTGCTTCAGCCCAGAGTTCACTGAAATCATTATCTGGTAGTTGTCCTAGCATTCAACTGGCTGCAAGGAACTGCTTTGTTTTGGAAGATCCACCAAATGACCCGAAGGAACCAACATGTTCTGAGAGGTATGTTAACCTATGTAAAGCTTATATTTCCTTATCAGTTTTGAACATTATCTGATGTTAGTTAGAGACATACAGTGTTGTCAATGATACGGGTAATCGGGATGCTCATAATGTGAAAAACTCGGAAGACAAAAGCCTTGAGGGGGAGCAGAAAAGTTCATTGAGCAACCATTGGGACCAAAACACTGAAGTTTCTCTTCCTGAAGAGAAGGTGACATCGCCTTCACCCAATGACTTAACCATGGATAAAAAAGAGTCCAGCAATATTGCAACTAATGAGGAAGATAAAAAGGCTAATTTGAATGAATCCAGCATTATTAATCAATCAAAGGATCATCAACCAAGTGTAATGAAGGTATCAAATAACTTAACAACGAAAGAGCCTTCTCAGCCTCCAAAAGCAGTGAAGGAAGTAGATATGTCTGATTCGGTTCCAGTGAAAAAGAACGAGTGTTGTGATGCAGCTGCATCGAAGTCTGCGGGAGAGTCTAAACCAGCAAATGCATCAGAAAATCTAGAGACTGCTTCCTCTTCTTTATCCGAAGCGAAGAATGAGCAAAAACTTTTTAAACCAAGTCCTGGTAGAAAATCTACTGAGCCTGATGAGGCATCAAATGATGTTGAAATGGCATCTGTTCCACAACCTTCAGAAAAGAGTGAGCCTCACCAACCAGTCGCATTAAATTCTGGAAATGAAAATGGAGTAGCCAAAGGTTCTCTCTTTTCTTGTATGTATATCTTGTTTACAAAACCAACTCTAGTGCAAAATGCTTCTCAATATCTTATTGTTTTTTTCAGACAAGAATAAAGAAGGTAAAAACCAGAATGGTGACTCTACGGACAGAGAAGATAATAGTAGCATCGATAAAGTAAAGAATGTTGCAGTTACGGCACTCTCAGCAGCAGCAGTGAAGGCGAAACTTCTAGCAGATCAGGAAGAGGACCAAATCCGACAACTTGCTGCTTCATTAATAGAAAAACAGGTTAGCTAGTTGCAGAATACATGCAATCTCTTTTTCCTATAAATATCCTACTGGAGCAAAACCCAACTTTTCTGAGGTTTTAATTCAATGCAGTTATTTAAGATGGAAGCCAAATTAGCATTCTTCAATGATATGGAAGGAGTTGTGATGAAGGTGAAGGAGCAATTGGACAGGTCGAGGCAGAGGCTTTTCCATGAGCGGTCACAGATAATTGCCGCTCGACTGGGCTTGCCAGCTTCCTCCTCTAGAGCAATGCCACCACCAAATGCTACAAGTAGAGTTGCTGCAAACTTTTCAAATTCAGTTGCAAGGCCTCCTATGAGCATGAAAGCCCCAAGACCGCCAATGTCGAGACCCATGACTCCTACGCCTTCCAACCAATATGTATCTCCAGCAGTTACAGGTGGTTCAGTTCGACCTTCTAGCTAGGACAGTGTTTCCTCTGTCGGAGCCAAGTAGTCTCTATTCATATTACTTGTGAATAGAATTTTTTCTATCCATTCTTAATACGATGGTCATCTCTCACGAGATATATCAGGTGAGTACTCTTTATAGTTGCAGTTCACATTAGCATTAGCGCTGCTAGTCATTTTGGGTGCTTTTAAGAGCTTGGGAATCAACTCGAACCGAACTCGTAGCAAATTCATTTGTGACACCTTTTGCTAATTCTAGCCACGCCGTTGTTTCATCTCGAGTAATCTAGATACTGCTGTCTAAATTATGTGATAGACTGACATCTCATGATCATAGGAAGGAGCAGATGGGTATTGTTCTCCCTTCAATCCTATTCTAGTCGAAAACAGTTGGGCCTATGTCTAACATGGAATTATTCCTTCTTGTAGTTGATACTGTGGGACCTGGATGATGAATTTTAGGTGATGCAAATTAAACATCCCTAACCTTACCAAATTCTTAGGGCATCTTATGATCAGATATAACCCTGTGTATTCTATTTTGTGGACAGACAGATCTGTTTTTGTTGTTATAAATGGCGTATATCTTTGTTTTTATTGTTCCATTTTCTCAGCTATAATCGCTTTCTTTAGTATCCAATCCGAGCAGTACAGTAAATCTGCCTGCTGAAAATGTATAATCGCTACGAAAATCGAAAATTTATATGTTGTAGTTTGACTATTGTACTGATACAAGTTTGATTAACCCTAATAATTATTTTAAATGTCGTATTGATACAAATATATTCAAATTTAAAATTTTTGACAATTCAAAAGCAATAACACTTTATCATGACATTCTCAAATCAACGAGTCTGATCAAACACTTCAATTTTAAACCCTATAAAAGAAATTTCCACAAATGGTATTCTCAAAATCGCCTTTGGAAGTTAGGGATAGTGGTGCCTTGGAAGGTACGGACTAGCAAACCAAGGCTTATCCCAATTCCAACACAGATGCTAAACCCAATTCCCAAACCAACCTTCACACCAGCATTGAACAATGAGAGCTCTTTCCCATCTTCGTCTTCAAAACACTTCACCCATGGATGCTCATACTCGGGTATCGAATCTGGCATTGAAATAGCCTCCATTTGTTTCATCCGTAAACTAGGCCGTAAAATCTGAGTTAATATAATTGGACTCCCCATGAAAGACCCTGCAACATGAACCTCAACCGTGGGTGAATCTGAATCATGTCTGAGAATTTGTTTGGCCATAACATTTTTACAATCCATGCTCCATTTCTGGCCACTTTCTCTTGAACCTTTAGTGTAACTGTTGAACTCTAAAACCCCATGTAGCAAAATAGTATCCTTATCGAAAACCTCAAACTTTACACTCCTTGTCAGCCTTATGCTATCCGTGCTCACGAAAATGGCTTCTTCGGATCTTTTATTGACCCAAACCCTTCGGAGAATGATCGATCTGCTGTCGGGATCGGTGCCGGCTTCACGTAGTGTGTTGGGATTCAATGGGACATGGTTGAGAGTAAGGTATTTGGGTGTTGAACTTGAAGCATCATCGAACTCAAACTTGCTTATTCTTACATAGAAAACTCTAAAATCAAATGACTCTCTCCATTAAAGAGAAGAAATTTTCTGTACTTTTTTATACAGAAATTGAACTGAGAAACAAACAGAAATTCAAGCATCGGCTTGACGGAAAAAATACAAAACAAAAGCAACAATTTCTATCCTTCCAACAAGAACTTTCCGGCAGTAGACAAATTTTCAGGCAACACTTGAAAAAAAAAACAGGCTCTTATGTCTTTGTGTCAATCCTTCGTGCCTTAATTTATATACAAATTTAATGCATGCATGTGTATAATCACCATGAAAACCATCAAAACATTAACTCATTCATAGATTTTATCCTAGAATGTAAGAGTTATTGAATAATGAATCATTTTAAGTTTTTTGCTTTTTGGGACAAAATCCGTAGTTGTGTTAAGGCCTAGTATCTTGTTCCTTCATATTATAATCGAACAGGATATGAGCGATGGGGGGACTCAAAACACAAGACAAAGTGCAACGTTTTTAACTTCGTTTTCCACATTTCCAACGAGGGCAGATTCTCAACATCTCCACGTGAAAAACACATGACCAACGCTCTTCTTAAAGATGGAGCTCACTGACGAGGTTTCGGAAGTTGTCAGGTTAAGGTAACTATGACCCACGTGCAAGTTCAAAATGAGAGTTAAAGGGTATCGGAGATATAATGTTTAGAAACGATGTTTAGAAATGTTTTACTTCTTTTGGATCTCCTTCGCGGGTTGCATCTTTATTTTTATTCTTTCGTTTGACCAAAGTCTTTGAAAGAACTCTAATAAACTCAAGTGATTTATCAAAACTAAATTTACTCTCAGACAACTATATTCATTTAAGCTATCAATCTACGAGTAGTAATCATGATTTTAGGTCTCACATCAATACTAAAGGTCAATGTAAAATTTCTCAGTCGAGAATAAATAATTCTTTTCGCCCTCTCTCTACCTGAAAATAGAGACATTGGTTATCATTCTTATCGACCATAGATCATAAATACTCCGATTGTGACTCTCCACTTTAATTAAAAGGAATGAATTGTCTATAACCATCACAATCTAAATGTTACTGTCAATAAAAAAATTATTTCAATAATTTTCCCCATAAAAAAAATATATTCATCATTATATATAATATTCAAGTAATAATATTTAGTTCAGTTTATTGTATGAATAAAAATATTAGACATCGAGATGTATCAAATTCAATTCGATTCAATTTTAAATTTAATTAAAATTATTATAATTAGTAGACATTTGAAGACACTCAATTTCGTCTTTTGCTATTAATATTATTATATTACATAATATTACAAATTATATTGTATAATTATATATATATATATATATATATATATAATATTATTAATTTTATTATTTGCATTGTGCAGGCCTGATACATTGAATAAAGCATCCCAACGACCCACCAAGCAGGCGGCCCAAGTCTCGAACTAGCCTGCTAGGTAATCCACATCAGTTAGGGTTGTTTGAAACCCTATCCCCTCTCCCTGGAGTCCCCTTGTTCATCACGCCTTCCTCAGCCGCACTTCACGGATTCAACGTCCCCGTCAACAACACCAACGACGTGCACATGTGGGACTTCAAAACAACCACAAACAAACCGAGTTTTACTCGGATTAAAACTCTAAAATTAGCCTAGGTTATTACTATAAAGCCATGTAATTAGAACACGAATGGGACACATACACGCAATACACTACGATAGATCAAGAGAGACACAACAGATTCGAAGTTTTACTTTGTAACCAGATTCGAAGAGAAATAAAAGGTGAATATTTCTTTTACCCTGCATGTCGTTTCTTTCCTTTTGCTTTGCCTTCGTGCGACCTCAAATAGTCCAAGAGTGGGTTACGCCGATGATCAAAGGGGAAGGGTTTCGAGATTTCGAACCCAGATCTAGCCCCGAGGCGTTCGTTTTTTTAAAAAAGTTTTGATTTTTAAAAAAGAGGGTGGAAAGAGCTTTTAGGATTTTTGAAAAAAATAAAAAATAAAAATTTTGCCGCCAATGAACGGCGACGACGAGGCGGCACGGGGGGAGGCCAACGGTCAGATTCTGGAAACGAGGGCTGGCATTCTTCGTTTTTGAAGAACACCGAGAGAGAATTTTGAAACAGGTGAGGGGCTCATGTGGTTTGAAGGAGAGAAATGAAAATCTTAAAACAATGGTTGGCTTAAATACTCAGCCCGAATACCGACCCGCGACCCGACCACGGGTTATTAGATCCGTGCATTTTCGTTTAAGAAGGGGAAACTATGCTTTTGATCCTCACGATTTTTTTGAAAGCTCAATTTGATTCCTAATCCGATTTTAAACCCACTTTTCTTTCGAATTTGGCCCTCTGATTTCAAATTTCTCTCTTATTCTTACTTATTTAAATATTTTATATTATTTATATATATATATGTATATTTTTATTATATTTTATCATCTTATATAAGTGTATATATATATATATTTAATATTTTTTTATATGTCTATTATTTTATATATTTTAATTATTTGATTTTTTTATATATATATATATATATATATATATATATATATATATATATATATATATATATATATATATATTACTTATTCATTTGTGTCTAATTTCATTTTTTTACTTTCCTATTATTATTTTTCTCTTTATCTTTATCTTTACTTTTATTTCTTTGATGTTCATTTTATTGTATTTTGCTATTTTATTATTATTATTTTTTTCGTACATAGATTGTCCCCATTTACTTCATATTATTTTTTTCTTCTTTCTATTTTTACTTTTTTTTATTATTTTTTTCTTTATGTTTTTTATTTCATTTTGTTTTTCTTTATTTCGATTGTTGTTCTTTATTTTATTTATTTTCACCTTTTTATCTAACACTTTTTGTAGCTTTTTGAGGATATTTTCAAAGAAATCCAAGGTAAGTAATTCAGATCGCTATTTTACCTTTTAATTTAAAGTTATATTTTTCTTAACTAAAGACAACTGGAAATTACATAGTACCGAAAGGGCAGTTCAAGGGTGCTAACCCTTCCTTGACTGTAACCGACTCCCGAATCCGACATATCACTGGTAAGACGCAGGTCAGGTAAGAAATAATGTATTCGGTCAACCTATTTACTTTTAAATAAATGATCGGTGGCGACTCCTAATCCAATTATTTCATGTCTCTTTTTCTAAAATTATTTTTCCTAACCCAATTTCGGGCCCAACCGAAAGACGGTTACGACAACATTAATATTTTAAGAAATATATTAAATCATGTTTCTTTTTCTAAAATTATTTTTCTAGTTTTCTTAATAATTTTTATATCCAATCCCACAATTGATGTGGTAAAAAAACTTATGTCAGTTTAATTTTAAAAGTCAGGTTTAGGATTCATCCCTAGGCTTGTAACTAAATCTGATATTTTCTTTTAAAAAAATAGTTGAGTGACTAAAATGGAATAAAAATAATAATTGAGGTACATAAAATGTAGTATACCCAAATATTTAATCAAACTATACCGATCTAAACCACAATTATAATTTATAACCCATTTGGAAACCAGAGAAAGAGCCCAGAGTGAAGCCCACAGCTATTGCCTACTGCCATTTTTTACCCTAAAAAATTGTTCAAGCTAGACGCAACGCACACGGATTCAGCGTTTGGCAGCAGCAATGGCGGAAGATGCAATACTGGGTTACTTGGCGACCGCCGAAGAGATCACAGATTCAGGACAACTCGCCGCCCAACACGGCCTCCACCATAACGACGTCGTCAATGTCATCAAGAGCCTCCACGGTTTCCGCTACATCGACGCTCAAGACATCAAAAGAGAAAACTGGGTTCTCACTGACGAAGGCAAGAAATATGCTGCCGAAGGCTCCCCTGAAGTTCAACTATTCTTAGCCATCCCTCCAGAAGGTTCAATTTCTAAAGATGAGTTGCAGGTCAGTGTTGCTAATTTTTTTAACTTTTTGTTTGGATCTATGGTTTCCAAGCTCTTTCATTTGTTGCAGAAAAAGCTCGAGCCTTCAGTTTTCAAAATTGGGTGCTCACAAGCTGGGAAAAACAAATGGGTCGATATGGGAAAGCAAGTTTCGAGAAAAGTAATAGTTTTGATGGTTAATGTTCATGAATCTGCTCATGTTTTTATGTGAATATGTTATTTATCAGTGCAGTTTTTGCCTTGTTTTAGGTTCCACATGTTGAAGACATGGTCAAGGATTTGCTTATTAGAGTAAAAAATGGAGAGGTATGTCACCATTTTAATAAGTTACCAGTCTCTATCTGTTTTGCTTTAAGCTTATTGTATGAAATATTTCTTATTCCTGTCAATTCAGTGATTAAAGTTGGTTTCTTTTACTCCAGGAAATTGGCAAAGATGATGTTAATTCGCTTAAAGCAAGGAAGCTTATTGTTGCACAGTGATCATCTAGTCCCTTGCTCCATTCTTTTTCAATTTTCATTCAGTGTTTGTGTATTTTGTTCACATTACTGATAGTGTCCCAATTACATCTTGTTTTAGGATATGGAAAGGTTACTCAGTGAGAAAAGGGCCTAACTATGCCCCTAAAAGAAAGAAAGTAGCTACTGATCTGACTCGAGAGAATCTACAGAGGTATCTCATAGAAGTGATAAATATGCTTGTGAAGTTAGAATTTTGTTGATGAAGTTGAATCCCTTACTTTTTTTGTCTTATTATTTAGCTATTGTCCTTTGCTCCGGAGGGATGTTATTGAACCAATATTTATACATGGTTACTTTCTTTTAGGGCTGACTGGAAGGAATTGGAGTTCAAAGAGTATAACTTCAATGCTAAAGGACCGCCTGCTGAAGCTGGCCATCTTCATCCATTGCTCAAGGCAAGGATATGTCTGTATATTTATCAACTTTGTTTAGCTTTGGGCAAATGCGGAACCTTTAAAAATACAAATGAGAATATCGTCCTGTTAAATATATTTAGTTTTATGAACATTGTAGTCTTGTAATCATTTGCAAGTTGCAACTAAATAATTGATAAAGGTTTATGTTTCTTATCTGCCATAAAAATGGGTGGAAGAGACTACATTTTGTGAGGATAAATAAACTGCCTTTCTTTTTAGTCTGAGTTAGACATTGCGGTTATTCTTTGTGGAACCTATATTTCAATGTGTGAAAATCATATTTTATGCACGATATAATGCAAATGGTTCTCTTCCAAAGTTGTTTTACCGTGCCTTTTATTTTATTGAATCTGTAACTTTTGATTACTTGGGTACCTGCTTGTTTGTTGTGGAGTTAACATATTTGTGCCTTATTTTATATTCAGGTGAAACAACAATTGAAGAATATATTTCTTCAAATGGGGTGAGTTTTGAGCTAACAAATCTTACTCGTACAAATCTTATTTCATATTCATATGTTGGTGCTGTGAGAATTACTGATGGACATCAACTCGTAGTGCATATAGAACACTCACTTCCTGGCCTTGATTTTTTTATGTTTTATGATGAGCAAAAGCATGCTACTAAGCATCACCACAAATTGTGCCGTGTTATTATTGTTGTTGTTGTTTCTTTAATATCAAGTTCAGTTACAGCTTTTCTTTTCTCTGTGAGTTTGAGATTGTTTTTTCTGGATTGGGTTTTTCAACTTTGAAGCCTTGATATTAATACATATTTTCATTTTGTGCTGTCTGCAGTTTTGAGGAGATGCCAACAAACAATTTCGTTGAAAGCAGGTAGTTGATATGGCCAGCTTTTTCTTTTGTATGCTGAGCTTCTTTGAGAAAGCAATAATACATACATGTTAATGAAACTTGAGAAAAGAACATATGCATACCTCTAGTTTCCTTAAAAAAACTTATTAGAAGGAACCTCAAATCCTATAATTCTTCTCTTCATGTCGGACCAGAATAAGTTTGTGCTAAAGTTGGTTTCGTATATCTGTTTCCACTTATAGCTTCTGGAACTTTGATGCATTGTTCCAGCCACAACAACACCC